TTGTCAGAAGTTACCTAATTAAACAATAATTTGTTTCGTGTTATTGCGCATTGTAAAGAAGTCGTGCAATTATGTACATGAGCACTAAAAATTTCATAGCGTATCAAACGCCATTTTTAAATATTTATTTCGTAAAAAAAAAAAACCGTTAAAATATAATAACTTCACCAAACTGCACAAGTCTACGAATAAACCGTATACCTATATAAAATATAATTTAATTCAACACTTACTTTGGCTGCCATTGTGTGGATAAGTTTGTTKGATATACGATAATATTATAATAATTGTATGATGATCGCTGATCGAACTGACAGATTATAATAATACTATTGACGATCGATCCGAAATTTATATACTATAAAAATATAGTCGTCGGCCCTACTTCGGACACCCTTAGGATGGGTACGTAATCTATAATTACGTCCGTATAGGATAAACAACATAATTTTCGGAGAATATCGTATATCGATCAAAGCCGTGGTGTGCAGTCAATCTGCGTAACTGTCGCCCGGGGCTAATAATTGGCCAAACGGTTCATCCCCGCCAGTAATAAAACAGTAATAAAACGGTATTAATATCAATTATAATAACAAGACGTAATAGTAATGAAAATTGTTAATCAAAACTAAATTGGTCGTATAATTTGTCAAAAGAAATCGACGGGCACAACCACTTTCGCCCCGTTTTATTATGGAGGTAGGTATCTGTTTATTTAGACGCCGTATAATTGCATGGACATACCACATACCTACGTAATGTTTGTGGAAAAGTGTTTGCCACTATCGCATAAATGTTATACTTAATGTTGTTTATTATGTATGTTTATCGCATATATTTATGTTTTCAATTGAATACAGGTAACCTAATAGTGTAGTTTACGGCGTAGGTATCTATAACACMAGCTTGAGGCATCAGCAACGGACGAGACTCAGTATSTGACCTAGTTTGAATTGTTTTGCACTATTATTGGCCCGTCGAAGGATATCAGATCTATATTCTATATACACCACCACATCGATGTCAGCCTCATATTTTCAATTAAATTTTTTTTTTACATTTTTATAATTATCCGGTTTAATAATCTATGTAGGTGTAATGGATCGCAATAATCAGCGATTATAGCACAATTTTTAAGTATTTATGACACTTTGAAATGTTGTAAATTAATCATACTACATAGTTATAATCTTATTGTTTGTAAACAGATAATACAGTAATAACTGYCAAATKAAGTTGTTTATTGACTTATCAAACGTAGTATACTATTATTTATTACATACAATTATTATTATCTTATAATGTACAATTATCATTTAAACATTTAAAAATAAATAATTACATCAACTGGAATAAGTACATACTACCTACTCTACATTCTAACTCACTGTCATAAAAAAAATCCAATATTTCTTTAATTAATATAAAATTCCTTATAAGTCTTTATTATTGACTCAAAGATGAACACAATATTATGACATTTATTTTTATTCAGCCTGGTTAAAGTTTTTTTTTTTAGTATTGCGGGATTCATTTGTCATAATATCTAGAACGGAACATACAGGRTGTCTCACAGAGATCTKACATTCTGACAAATYAAATAACTTTTGTTCTTATCAATATTTTTAAAAATATCTTTTAATATTCTTTTATAATTCATAGACACTTGCGCTACATTTTTAGAATACATTTTTTATTTTTTAATACTGAAAATAAAAAACTTAAAAATTAATAAAAATTTTTTTCGAAATATTCAATATAGCCAATTTGTAAATCTGATTT